TACAAATATCGTTTTTTAATAAAATCAATATTAAATTAATGCTCAGTCCTCAGTCCGTCACCTGATTTGTTGTATTTTAGAGACTTTAATAGAATAAATATGAAAAATTTAGCAGCTGAAGCTTCCGCTCTTCCTTGAATAATTGCTGGTTTTTAGCCGATATTAATAAAAAGGTGCAACATTTCTCCAACCTTGTAAATTATTTATTTGACAAATATTTACCCATAAGAAAAAAAATAACAATAACAAGCAACCCTGGTTTACAAAAGAGGTGCTTAGGGCAATCAATGCAATGAAAATTGGGTTGCTTTTAAAGTTCTACGTAATAAAGCCACTTCCATTACGCGACAAGCCAAGAAAAGCTATTACCAAAGCTCCCTCCTAAGGTATTGTGGAACAACTTAAAGCATCTTCGGGTAAAATCTAGCTCAATATCGGAATGCCAACTTGACGTATATGTAATGAGTTACAACTTTTCTATAAGAAATTCAGAAAGTAAAGCTTTTGAACCTGACCGTGATCTTTTGTGTGATAAGGGAAGCAAATTTGATTATAATTATAATTTTTTCCTTAACGTCGCTAACGTTTCCGGACAGTTGGAAAGTAGCTAATGTAATACCTGTCGCGAAAAAATGCAATGCAATCTTGCCTTCAGACTATCGTCCTATAAGTATTCTGCCGTCATTATCGACAGTTTTTGAAAAACTAATTTTAAGCCTGATTATGGGTTATATGTCTGAAAAGTGCCTTAATTCTGAATACCAATCAGGTTTCCGGCGGGGGCATAGCTGTTCTACTGCATTGCTTAAAGTTCTTGAGGATATAAGGCCACACTTCGATAAAGGACACCTCACAATCCTCACTTTATTAGATGTCTCAAAAGTGTTTGACACTGTGTGTCACAATATTTACTCGAAAAGCTCGAAAAATATTTCGGTTTCGGCAATAATGCACAAAAATTAATGGAAAGTTATCTGTCAAATAGATGGCAGAGAGTAGTATCGAAAGGATCCCGCTCTGAGTTATCGGCAATAACATCTAATGAAGACTTAGAATCAATTTCCCTATGGTCAAAGCCAAACAGGCTAAACTTAAATGCATCTAAAACGCAAGCTCTAGCCTTATCCCATGTGCAATATAATCTTGAAGACGTCTCGCCAATTATCTTGAATGGCTGCGCTATAAAATATGAGAGTGTTGTTAAAACCCTAGGTTTTAAACTTAATGGGGCTCTTACATGTAAGGACCATGTCAATACGTCAGTAAGCAAGTTGTACTTTGTGTTGAGGCAGCTATGGAGAACTGTGGCATATATTCCGCAAACTACTAAACTGAAGCTCGTAAATGCCTTAATAGTGCCTATAATATCTTACCAAGAATTAGTCTATGGTCATTTAGACAAAGCTTCCCTGCATAAGTTACAATTAGTTCTTAATAACGCTGCTAGATATATTTACTTAAAACGGAAGTTTGACCACATTTCGGAGTTCTCAATAAATAATCTTGGTTGTAGCTTGTCAAAATTTTTCGACCGTCGTTCAGTGCTATTTATACATAGGCTAATCTACAGCCGATGCCCGAAATATCTTTTCTCTAAATTAAAATTTGCACAGTCCAGTCGCACAAGTAACCTCATTGTACCACAGTCCAAGTACTCAGTAACGTCAGAAATGTTTTTCGTTAGAGCCGTAAAATTATGGAACCTCTTACCAGTTGAATTAAAATTGGAATGCAATCCAAGGCGCTTCAAATTTGCAGTTCACTCTCTCTTTCTATTCTAACCTTCTAGTCGATTACTTTCAACCCTTCATGTAACTCTTTTTCCCTTCCCCTAAATGTATCTTGTTTTATTTTTAATTTTCTTTTAAGAATTTGTATACATAGATTTAAGTTTTCAAACATGTATACTACATATCTGCACTGTAAATGACTAGGTCTTATTTGTGTGTATCTGAATAAAATGAAATGAAATGAAAATGAAATGAAAATAGTGGGTTCCTGGCCACAAGAGCATTATGGGCAACGAAATAGCTGATGAGATTGCCATAAGTGCCATCCGTCTCGCTAGCGAACGAGTACAGGAAATACAAAAGTCTCTAAAAACGATCTATAATGAAATTTCCGAAAGAGCTAGGTGCCAGATCAGGGTGAGATGGAACGCATTAGCGACATGCAAAACCACCAAGATCATGTGCAATAGCAGCAAAAGAAACACCCATTTCTTGCTTATACGGTCACGTAGGGACTGCAGGACAGTTGTTGGTCTAATGACGGGCCACAACCTACTGGCATACCATGCAAGCAGAATGGGCATTAGTAGCAGTAACACATTCAGGAAATGCAGGGAGGAAGGCATGAGTGAGACGTTAGAACACCTCTTCTGTTTCCGTCCGGCCTTAGCTAAAACTCGTCTTAGATATCTCGGAGCTTCGCAGTTCAAAGGACTAGAGGAGGCTTCAAAATCGGATATTACGGCTGTCTTGAACTCCGCGAAAAGCGTTGACGTCGTATACGACGACTACTTTAGATCGCAGTAAAACGGACCTCCATCTGGCACTACAAAGGACCAACAGGTAAGACGCATCAGCCGGCCAGTGTAACCTAACTTAACCTAAATTTGTATATGAGAATTGATGTCGGTTGTGTTTTTGCTTAAAAATTACTTGTTTAAAAAAAGTTCTATAAACAAAAGATGCGCTCAACTATCAAAAGTAATAAAAAATGTTCAAAAAGAGTTTTAGATGGTGATTTTTCACGATTGCCTAATTTTTTTAATATTTCGAATACCGAAAAAATTAACTGAAGGGTCATTTCATGTAAAAGGGGAAACCGACATAAATTTATATATGCCACTATTTAAGTAGTGACCTCTTTTGAGATGACTACATTTCATTTATCTGTTGAAAGATATTAAAAAAAACACAAAAAGTTGTAATTTTTGTCTACGGAAACTTTTATTTCATTCATAATTACTTTACACCAGTCACAAGGAGATGTCCCACCAAGCACAACATTAAATATATATATTTTTTTTTTATTTATATGAAGATTATATAAACCTTATTTTAATTGAAATCGAAAGCGTATAATTCATACTTTACAACAAAGTCACATTCATTCAAATGACAGTTACATAAACCTAAGAAATCGTTTAGTATTTTTGTTAAAGCAATTTTCAATAAGTTCTGACGACATAGTTACAATTCACAATTGATCACATTCTGGAGTAAAATTTCCCACCAGTCACAATGGAATAACCCTGAACTTGTATTTTTGTTATGTAGCTCATTTTCGTGGAACGAATTCAAAGTTGGCAAATTAAATCTACGAATCCTTGTTAAGTACATATCAATGGTTAATTCTTTACGGCTGTAAAGTGTAAAAAACTACAGTAAGTGAGAGTATGAACCCCAGATCCCGCCCCTTGTGTGCGCTAATGATCGGAATTCTATGAAATTTTGATATGTAGAGAATATGAAAGAATATGCAAAATATACGCAAATAATATGCAATCAATACTGTTACGATTATCCTCGACTACCTGACGGATTTACCGAAAATCTCTAGGTTCGTATCGCTGGATTGTTAAATAAACGCTCATGATGACCAAATTACAAATTAATTAACAACACTTGTTAAGGGAATTAAAATACTTTAAAAAACTTGCTAACACTATTGATCTCTGTGTTACAACTTGACTTGTAGCTTGCTGACTTGCAACTCTGCTGTAGTATACCTGCGATCGCGCTAATGGCAACTCTAGAACGTTCTGAAGTTTGTCGCTCATTCTCTCGCTGTTCTCAGCATTCATTTACTTGACGTTTCTCTGTCGAATATTCTATGTTATTCCTCGAACATTCTGCCATTTTCTTGCTGTCCACGTAATGATCATCCCGATCAGACACACTTGCTGCAAGCCTTTCCAACTGGACCCCGTTCATCTTAGTTCCCGGTCTATTAGCGGTCTGGATTCGATACATTGCGTCATTCAGCCGTTTGACAATCTTATGCCGACCTTTCCAGTTACGTCGTTGTTTGTAGGTGCAGCCTTGCTTCCGCTGCGGCTTGTACATCAACACAAAATCGCATTCCTGGAAACCCTCTAGGCTGGATGCGTTACTGGACATTGCTTCCGGTTTATTTTCGGGAGTGCACCATCTCACATGGCCGTGCTTCTGCCGGCCACTGGTGGTGACCAGACCATGTCTCTTCTCATGGGCACCATTTTCGCCAGATTTACGCCGCTTCCTTTGGCCATGACTACCACGCTTCGATCCTTGAGCTGCACTGAAACTTTAGCAATTTTTTCCTTGCATGAAGTTTTCTTAAATCTTAAGATTCAACTTCAGTTTTATGAATATTTCTTGAAAGTTTTGTCAAGAAAGCTTTAGCAAGTTTTTCTTTAGGCTTATGTAGCTTTATAAAATCTTAAGATTTGACTTAAGTTTTCTGAATACAATTAATAAACGAAAAAGCTATTTAATACTTATATATGTAGGTGTTTATGGATATTGGATGCTTTTGATGTACTCATTGCAAATTACTTTGGTGCTTTTCAAGTATTATGTAGTTAAGCGGAGTTTTAGTAATTTTTAACCCCTCTCTGCCCCTTGCCGGAAAATGTAAGCAAAAATGTTACCCCCTCCCTCTTTTATGCTTTGGTAATAATTGGTATTTTTTAATCTGTTAAACTTATAAAAAATTTTTAAGAACATTTGATATTTGTTCAAATTAAAATCTACTAAATTTTTCAGAAAAAGCAGAAAGGTAATACTGCCCTGGTTCTTGTCACCAAAAATACCCATCGACACCATTGGGCGTTACGTAATACTTGAAACACCGCTTACCATAAAATCGAAAACGCTTTTCCGAAACAAAATTTGTATTTAAGGCGCAGATAAATTTTAAAACCTACTTGAGAAATAGGCGATTTCTCAGCTAAGCCCACAGTTTTAGAACTCTCCTTTTCTATTTATAAGTAAGATTATGTACATATTTACCTCAGTATTAATACATGACACTTTAGGTTGTATACTGCAGCCGCCATTATTAATAGAGCACTCATCAATATCTGAGCAAGAAATTCCATTTCCGGTGTAGCCAGTCGGGCATGGATTGCACTTAAAACTACCTGGTAAATTTGTGCATTCACTGTGGCATGGATTAGTTGTATCATTACACTCGTTTACGTCAATATTGCATACGGCTTCTGGAACCACTTGATTTTTGCTCCACCCCTGATCGCAAATGCAAGCGTATCCAGCATCATTATTCGCTTGAACGCAAGTTCCATGGCCACATAATTCTCCACTGGCGGCCTCCTCGCAACTGGCCTTGCGCATTCGGCAGTGAGAGCCATAAAAACCATTGCGGCACGAGCAGCTGAAAAGTCAAATATTAATGAGAGATCACCAAATAACATATTCAGCTCTTTAAAAAATTGATGAATCCAAATGCTCGCTATGAATAAAAGTCTCCAGTTTTAATCTTCGAAAAATCTGGCATAAGGTTAATACAATTTTTATCTCATAGATCACTTTGTATTGTGTTTTGAGAAGACTATGAAAGGGCAGAGAGTTTCAAACTTTGTGCAATATTTAAAGAAATTTAACAAACTTTCGTATACAATTTCTAACTTTTTTAATTAGACTTCCTAGAAAGATTCTGAGTACGCTGTTTTGTAACCCATTGAATTCTAGTAGAACAAAGTATAAGTTTCAAATGGCTAAAAATTAGGGTTGATTTAAAAAAATTTTTTTGCCCCATTTGCTTCCATATATGGAAGAAAGCCGTAACATCTTCGACAAGAACAATTTTAAAAAATCAACGGTCATTTTCAGCCATTTCCAACTTGCACATTATTCTACTAGAGATCAATAGGCTACAAAACTGCGTACTCATAATCTTTCTAGGAAATCTAATTAAAAAGGCTAGGAATTGTTTACGAAATTTTTTTAAATATTGCACAAAGCTTGAAACTTGGATTTACACGGGTTTTGTTAAAGAGTACGATATTTCAGCTATCGAAATATGTCCAAAACAACAGGGCGATCGATTTTATTCTTGTAAAATGGGTTTTCATCTACAGGTGAGTTCTATATAAGGTATAATTTAAAATTTGTTTAATATGTTCAACTAATTAATATTTAATGAAATGTTCAAGTGAATTATTTTTAATAAAAACAGTTTAAAGAAATAGTCATAAGTCATATTCTTCATGTGTTTACGCTAGCCCCCTTCACCTTAATTATGTTTACTAATTAGAGAGTTTCACTTGCAGATGTCGCTGTGATCTAAGCGGGAACAGTTACTCGTTACTCGAGTTCCTTTTCCTCGAGTCCTGTTACCCGCCTCGGATGTTGGGTTTCGCCTTCTGTGAGCACCAACCACTCTCCCACTTTGGAAGAGAACTCCGAGCAATCAAGTAAGGTCCTCTAATTAATAATACATTTGATAACCTTTTGTTACAGCATTGTGTTATACTAAACATATATATGCAATGAAATGGCCGTCAGGCAATTACATATATGTATAAGCGAATGCGAATTTGCGAATCGTAATCAACCCTTGATGGACTTCAGAGATTCGGCACCTCCTCGACCCTCGTTTGCTGTGGAATTCAAGAGGAATTCCTGGACCCCAATTCCACCCCGTCCCGAACATGGTCCTTCGAGCCGGATAGGCTTGAAGTTTTTCGTGGTTGACCCACATTTGTTTAAAATAAAATAAAAGTGGAAAATTTTTGATAAACTGCCTAGTTGCCTTCATAAAGGAGAATTTTTTATCGCTCCCCGTTAACTCGATTTCATTTTCTTGTACACGACGAATCGTGTGCAATTAAACATATTTAAATATTTTTATTTTGCGCTCATCTGGTGAATACCGCCACCAACTTAAAATTATATATTGCATTCATTGGTGAAAACCGCCACTAACTTTGGGCTTGGGGCAAATTGACACGTTTCTGGCAGCAAAATTTTTTCTCTGGTATTTCCGTGTAAATACCATCCAGAAANCCATACAATTTGTAAAGAAAGATAAACATTTTTGATAAACTGCCTAGTTGCCTTCATAAAGGAGAATTTTTTATCGCGCCCCGTTAACTCGATTTCATTTTCTTGTACACGACGAATCGTGTGCAATTAAACATATTTAAATATTTTTATTTGGCGCTCATCTGGTGAATACCGCCACCAACTTAAAATTATATATTGCATTCATTGGTGAAAACCGCCACTAACTTTGGGTTTGGGGCAAATTGACACGTTTTTGGCAGCAAAATTTTTTCTCTGGTATTTCCGTGTAAATACCATCCAGAAAACCAGGTGAGTGAACCAAATTTAGGTTGGAGCACCTTTTTCTACACCTGGAGCAGGAGCAACACATTTGGCCCCAACAATGGGAGTAGCGGCGAGAATAGTAAGTATATTTGGAGTACTAATGGTGTTTATTTGTAGCAGCGGAGCACAAAGCGAGGGCGTTTAATAGAGTGAAGAAATTTCGCCAGCGCTCCAGCATCCGCAACTGCAACCACAATCTTGCCAGCGCTCCAGCTAAAGCCGCAGCAGCAATAATACCGCCAGGGCTCCGNATAATGGTGTTTATTTGTAGCAGCGGAGCACAAAGCGAGGGCGTTTAATAGAGTGAAGAAATTTCGCCAGCGCTCCAGCATCCGCAACTGCAGGCACAATCTTGCCAGCGCTCCAGCTAAAGCCGCAGCAGCAATAATACCGCCAGGGCTCCGGCGGTAAGTGTAAAAACACAGGTAAAGTGCAGTGAGGTTAAAAGTCAGCCCGGCTGTATTGCCAGTTTGTCGAGGAGCATGTGCTGAACGCCGGCACTAGGTGCCACACAGTTAGGCGTCAGTGCGCCTTGCTGCACGGCCCCTACCCAGGCCGATAGTTTTTAAGAGCGCCGGCTGTATTGCCATTGAGAAGGCGCAAGTGCTGAACGCCGGCCCTAGGTGCCATCAGTCAGGCGTTCAGTGCGAAACCAAGCCTCCCCCAGAGGTCCACTGTGGGGGTAATAATCTTCATCAAGGCCCCCACCAGTGGTCCACCGCGGAAGCAAATTTCCAACAAGGGTCCCACAAAGTGGTCCAACACGGGACCAAATCACCAAAGCATGGGCCCCACCAGCGGCCCCACGCGGGAGCCTAAAGACTTCAACAAGGCCCCCACCAAGTGGTCCACCGCGGGAGTATAGCCAACAACAAGGCCACAACCAAGTGGTCCACCGCGGGAGCAAATCCAACAACAAGGCCCCCACCAAGTGGTCCACCGCGAGAGCAAATTGAAAAACCAGGCTCCCACCAAGGGGTCCACCGCGGGAGCAAGACCCCTACCAAGTAATCCACAGTAAGCGGCTAGATAAGGTAAGCCTTTCAATTTGCCACGTATATTCGCGAAAAACGACTGGGAAAGGGGTGCAGAAATTGCAAAAGGTTGTGCGTGAGTACCATTTCCACGCCTTCTATATATATATATATATATATATATATATATATA